TGAGGACATGGCACACAGCTAAGAATGAATTAAAGAGAATGTCTGATTGATCTGGATCAAACATGATTACAGACAGACAAAGTGAAGCTTCACTTCTACGTGTGATTTTCAAGGTGATGCCAAGAACAGGAAGTGGTTACTTGCAGGGGACAAAAAAGCAGTTCATTTAACGATGCATGAAATTTAAGCACATGACAAATTAAATCATAATCAATATAATATTTAAACAATAATTCAATATAAACTAGTTATAAACAAAACATTATGTAATATATAACTATTACAAGAAGTGTTCCGGGAGCACAAACCTCCACCAAGGGAGCAGTTTTTACATTTAAGGGGATAGTACTTTTATGAAAGTTTGACCCTATTTCACTCATATCCTTTATATGTTGTCAACACAACCAATGGTAGCAATAAACAAAGTTTTAAACAGCTCCGTATTACACTTGTAAGAATCATCATTAAGTTGACCTTGAAGGCCTCAGTGGACATAATCAAAATGTTAAAGGATCGTTAACATGACCCCACTCTGCAAGGTTTTATCAGAATTTCTTTCAAGTTATTTTGTTTACAGATGGAATAACACTCACACGCACACGCACACACACACACGCACGCACGCGCGCGCGCACGCACGCACGCACACTAATGCTAAAAAAAATACACAATCACCCTGGAACAAGCTTATAATGAAGACCTAGATGGAAAAAACATTAACGAGCTTGAGCTGAAAATACATTATTGTCATAACGTGAAAACTTTAAGGAAAATTCTTGAACATTTAAGTTACACTTGGAGTCGACTTGTTCTGATTCACAGTTTCATGTCATCCCTATTTATTTGGTAGACCTGCAGTTCATCCTGTCTCTGAAACAACATGTTTAGTTCCCTTCTCGTGTTCTTTAATACAAACCTTCTTCTAATTGGCTGCTTCGTGTAAGCAGAGGGATTTGTTCTATTGGCTATAGTAGCACCGTTGTCCTCCCTCTGATGGTGCCCCCTTAAAATCCCCTTCATTAAAACTGTTTATGTGGATTGTTAATCTGCTTAGACATTATCATAGATTGTATTCACCCTCTCCATATAGTGATGCCTCTGCTTTTTATTTTCACAACAAACAGCGCCACCCTGTGGTTGAGAAAGAACTGCCTACAAAGACAAAAAGAGAAAAATAAAAATCAGTGCAGGTTCTAAGATAGAAAATAAAGGCAGAGACATGTGAGTGACCATCTTCTGACCTCTTCTCCTGACTGAGGAGGAAACTGATCCTGGACCAGATCCTGATTCAGTGTCTTCATCACAATTTGCACATCCTACTGTAAGAAACACAAAGCATGCAATAAACACAAAACATTTGCCAATGTGAGAAATTAAGTAATAATTTTTTAACATCATAAATCTGATAAATACTGTTCAATCACAACATTAAAACTATCTGCCCAGTATAGCTCACCCCTTGTGCCACCAAAATGTCTATAAGCAGGACAAATGCGCGTGCTCTAGCACCTCTGTTATGACAACAGATTAATGTCTTTCTTGTGTTCTCAAGATTTTCTTTAGCTGTGGCTCAGGTAGGTGCAGGTAGGTCTATTAATTTCCATATTATTTGTTTAGTCCCGAGTTCCCTGAATGTCCTCATCAGGTCATCATGCACAAAATACCAAAAGCTAAACGGGTCTACAAGCCTCCCTTGGATGGAGTATATCAGATTTTTAAAAAGCATAAATGTGTCTGAATGCAGTTTGTTGTATGGAAATGCTTTTCTCAGTAAAACTGAAGTCACTGCCACCAAAGAGTACTTGTGAGAACCCTGCAGAAACTTTAGACTGCATGTTTTGTTCCGTTTTCTTGCATTATTTCTGTTCCTGTTTTATTTTGTACTCATCATTGTCTCTCATTTCTCATCTTTCACTTCCTGCATTCCCTACCTTTGTGGTTTCCTCCCATAATGTGTTCGGTACCTGCCTCTGTCTCCTGTGGACTTATAAACTGTGAGTTCTCCTTGTCCTCGCGGATAATCCTTGCATGCATTCAGCATTCAACAGTGCAGTCTTTCCTGTTGCATGACTCATATTTTGTTGGATTAGTTACCAAACCTTGATTTACAACAATAGATATCAGATATTTGAATATTTGATTCTGAACCTATGGATTCTGAACTCTTTCGGTCTCTGCTCCATAAGATACATCATCAAAAGGCTCTGATGGCTGATTTAGTTAATGAACACCAAACTACACTCCAGTTCTGTCTTTTATCTAATACGGTGCAACCTTCAAATATATTTCAAAAGCTGAACATATAACTGAGACTAAACGGTCTGGTCAACATAAAAAAATGATCATTTCTAATTTGGTGTAAAGTGGGAAAAAAAGACAAAATGCTACAAAGCGTGTCAGATTATTGATCGAATCAGTCTAACCAGTCTTAAGCAGTACTGATTATTCAGAACTATCCTCGATTACATTCATGTATTCATTCTTACAATTAAGTAGTTAAAAGGTTTTACTCACCCACAGATAAAGACAGCTAGTGTGATGCCACATAGAATGATTCCAATTGCAGATGGGAGTATGTATAGAAAATACTTCGATGAAGCGGAATCTGTATAAAATCAGCAGTAAATTAATTTCAAGTGCTTGTTTGACCTTTACTAGAAGTGATTAGCTCTGTGTTTTGTTCTACCTACCTTTGGGGTGCTCAGACACAGTTAAACTCCATGTAATGCTGTTTATGCCACTTCTGTCTGTTATGCTACATGTATAAAGTCCGGGATCTTCAGGCTGAGCACTAAAAATAATTCGCTTTGTAGGAAACTCACGATTTATTTTCAGTCTATGAAAAGAGAAATTTGAATGGGTGCGATTCAGCACATTGGAATATTGAAAAACACATCTGCTGTTGGTCCAAGAGACTAGGGTCACATTATTATGTCTTATATTGCAAGTCAGCGTCACGGAGTCTCCTCTGGACACCAGCACAGCTCTGCGGTCGTCTTTAGTGATTCCTATAGTTTAAAGGAGTTAATAAATTAATATAGTCATCGGTAATGACAAATTTCGATAACAGGATGAACATAATTATGTCTGTACCTGCAAAGACATGCCACATCACTAATAGCGGAATGAGAAGTGCTGCTTGGTTCAGTCTAAACATCATGACCATCAGACTGAGAGAGAAAGAGAACTGAACTTCACGATCAGCTATATTTGTATCTGAGAAAGAGCAGCAGGGGAAAAGGAAGCGGTTAGTTATTGTATTGCTAAGAACTGCCTGCATACTTTTTTCACACGAGACGAGGTACGAGGAGGAACCCAGGACCCCTGCACCAACGTCAGGTCTTACAGTGGGTCCAAGGATTTCATCCTTCATACGTAATGGCAGTCAGGGTGTCACTGTCTAGCCTGTATAGGTCTGTGCTTCCCATCCATGGCCATGCCTCCCTAGACCATCACTGACCCACCACCAAACCGGTGATGCTCCACAGCTTCTCCAGACCCTTTCAAGTCTGTAACATATCCTTGGGATCATACTGCTCTAATCTGTGGAAAGCACAGGGCACCACTGGTGGATCTGCCAACTCTGGTCTTCTATGGCAAATGTCAGTCAGGCTCCACAATACCAGGCAGTGAGCACAAGGCCCGTTAGAGGATGCCAGCCCCTCAGGCCACACTCATGAAGCTTCTGATTGTTCAGCCAGAGACATTCACACCAATGGTCTGGAGGTCATTTTGTAGGGATCCTGCAGTGCTTGGTGCTCTTTATATTTAGTTATATTATTTTATTTTTTTGAGGAGTCTATATAATGATTCCCTTCAGCAACAAATTGTAACAACTAAATTGAGTATAATTATAATTAAGTGTTCTCACTTAGTTTTCCCTTCACTAAATAAATGTATCTGTGTTGAAGGTGCTCCAAATGTTATATTATATAACCTATCAAGCTAATGGAAGTTTAAACTAAGTACAAGTTTAATATTGGTCTTGAGGTTCTAAACGCACCCATCATGTGTGCCATAATTCTGATGGAAGAAATTATGACAACCGTGTCAAGCATGTGTAATTTCCTTCTTTGCGGCTTTGATGTCTGAAATGAGATATTATAGTAAACTTCGCTCTACTGCAGACTGAAAGTAAGCAAGGGGAAGTTCAGGGCAATCGAGTTTAGATAGATCACATACTGATCCATTGATTAATTTTGAGTACTTTTAACTTTTACATTCCAGCAAATGCAATGTAGATAAAGAGTTTAGCATCACTACCCAAGAAGCTTTTCAATTCCTTTATGCCTGCCCGGTCTTACAACCTTAACTACAAAGAAAGCACATGAACAGGACACAGTGTGTGTGTGTGTGTGTGTGTGTGTGTGTGTGTGTGTGTGTGTGTGTGTGTGTGTGTGTGTGTGTGTGTGTGTGTGTGTGTGTAATTAAAGAAGTATTATTGCTTTGTAGGCAGTACATGACTGATGACATACTCATTGCTTGGTTGCACGCATGCCCTCCAGTTTGTGCTATACTGCGCATGCGCGTTCTTCCCGCATTACTTTATTTGTGTACTTGCTGGGCCTGTTTCTCCAAAATGCTGTGTTAATTGCAGCCTATGGTTAACAGCTGTCAACCAGAGCACCCGGTCACATGTGCCAAAGTGAGAGCAGGTTCAGCTTAAAAACAGGAAAATATATATATGCAAATGATTTATTGTCATCTAATTTTGTCTCATTAGGTTAAGCAAACCATCCCCAAACTATTCATCACTGAACCATGATTAGTAGTGATTACCTGTTTTGCATTGTTTATCCCTCCCCCCTTTCTCTCTCGTATTTGCAACTGTGAAAAAAGAACAATATTGTGCATACTTCAGTGAAACACAAGTCCTTAAGAACAATTATCCATTTCTGTAGACCTCTAGCATGCAATCAATCAATCAATCAATCAAGGCTTTATTCGCCACGTGCAGGTTGCCCTGCAGTGAAATAGGACCCCCCCGACACATAGATATCTACTACAGGAAGCCTTTAACCCTTAACCACATACTAAAACACACATATAAACATGCACATGCACCAAACACCTTTCTATCACTTCAGAGGACTTCAAAGTGAGGTACATTTATTTTCCGGAAGCATATTTAAATTTTTGTTCCCCACATGTTTCACACACACCCCTGCAAACATAAGAGCTGCCTATGACTCACGCTTACATTTGACTTATACAGGCCTCAGAGAAAGATGTGATAGAAAAACTGTGATTAAACAAAACTCCAGGAGCAAAAAAAAAAAAAAGGAAATAATTAAATGTGTGTATGTGTGTCTGCGAGTGTGTGATTCTCAATGACTGTGACTAGTTTCTGACCCTTTCAGGCATTGATGGATGATCATGAATATTCGAGATGCCTCTTGGAAAGCCCCTGGCAGAAAACGGGGAGACATCAGAAGAGAAAATACCTCAGTTCTCTGTTCTGAGCGCAGCTTGATCCTCTCACATGTACGTGCACAGTGAATGAATTTAAATCTTCTATGAAGAAGACAGTTTTTATAATAATAGCTTGGAAAGAAAGAGCTGTTGTTGTTGGTTAGCTTCTCTCAGTTGCTTGCAGAACATGCTGTAAAAGTCTTTTGTTTTTCCCACCACACGTATCTGTTTTGGTGTAAATATGTACGTTTGTGCGTGTGTGTAGTACAACTGATAACACCTGTATCAGCTTTTGCAGAATTTATCAATCAAACACTTCTGGGAAACGATATTTTTGCATTTTTTCTACTGATAGCTTTTTATGTTGCCGCTTTCACAGTGTTGCCTTCTAGAAAGAGATTGTGAACCTCCAATGCGGTTAGCGCTCAGGTAGATTATGGTTTCAGGTAAATAACTGTACAAACTGCTGTTGCTGTTCAATACCAGAAAGCCATCTTTTGCTTTGTGTAATAGGCTTTGATAGCCTCAACACAAAAGTGCAGTTTCGCATGTAAAAATGTTCCCAGTGAGTGATCTATCTAGCATTGCACTTTTAGAACCTCATTTTATTTATGATGCACAGTTCAATAAGAGTTATGGGTTTTCTATTGTGCTTTGTTCTATTTTGTCAAACCCATGCATGCTCATGCACTAAAGTAACCACAATGCATGATGACTGATAGCACTGCTGTAGCCACATAACGTCAGAGATGGTGTTCTCATTCCTTACTAACCTCACACACAAAGATTTTTATCTTCACATTTTCAAACTTGCCTTCAGTCCCATCTGACACTGACTCAGCTGATCACCTGAGGCCCTTTTTGTTATGTTCCCTCTTGCTTTCAGTGCTGGACAGCAAATTCTCTCTTTCCCTCCCTCTATCTGATTTTCTTTCATGCTTTTCTGTTTTCTTCTACCCAGTGTGCATTTTCTTGCAAGGGGATAAGTTCTGCCAGGATTGCCAGCTCTCTTAACGGGCATTCCCACTGGTTCTCCACCTGACATACCTGCTGTTGAGCATCTTGATCAACAGCAGGTGTTGATAATCTCCACTTACCTGAAATTTTTAAGGTCTGGTTTATTCACCCTCTGTTCACCAGATTGCTGCAGCGGTACATGCAGCATCACATTCAGGCACACACCTGTTTCTAGCTCTGTGTTTATCTGGGTATTTACCTTGGTTTTTCCTGTTCCCTAGGGCCCCCTGCTGTATCAGTAAAGTTTGGTTCTGGAAATAAACTTACCTGGAAACCATGCTCATTGTAGGAAAACAAAATGTCCTGCCTTGAAAAATCTATTCCAGGGGTCTCCAACTCCAGGCCTCGAGTGCCGGTGTCCTACAGGTTTTACATGTGTCCTTGGTCCAACACAGCTGATTCAAATGGCAAAATGACCTCCTCAACATGTCCTGAAGTTCTCCAGAGGCCTGGTAACGAACCAATCATGTAACTCAGGCGTGTTGACTCACAGTTATATCTAAAATCTGCAGGACACCAGCCCTCGAGGCCAGGAGTTGGAGACCCCTGATCTATTCTTTAGAAATGTTAGCGAATAAACAAGGATATTTACCAACAAAATGGAAAAATGTGATGTCTGCATGTCATCTTTTCTCTGGTCTTTATCCAGCCAAATCTCCTCACCAAGAAAAGGGATGGAGCCTAACCGGGCAGAGCATAAAGCATAACTCGGTATGCCTAATCCAGCCTTGGATGCCCCCAAGCCTCCTTGGTAACAATGATATGCAACTCTAAAGAGTCTCGTTTGGATGTGCTCTTTTTCTAAATTCCTTCATGTATTGCAAAATTTTAACACATACTTGCACAAATTGCATCAGAAACAAATGTATTGTTATTATGGCTGGTTCTTTCTCTTTGTGTGTCGGAGCTTCAGCATCTCACGAATAACATCTGACTTCTATATGGTAAAAATGTGTAATACCAAAGCACAAGCAAACAAACTGCTGTGACCCTGATTAAGGTGCCACTGCTTTAGTGGCTTTGTATTCACACTTAGGTAGAAGTGTGATCTCTGAGCTTTGAGCTTGAGCTAGCACAGAGATTTGAGAGACTTGCAACTGGCAAAGACTGTCAGAGTTAAGAATGAGGACAAAGGGACAGGAAACATTCAACAAGTCATATAAAAAAACAGTTAGCATTTTGCCAAAAGAACTCACTGGATATTTTTCTCAGACCATTCTCTGTAAACCTTAGAAATGGCTATGTGGGGAAAATCCCAGTGACTCAGCAGTTTCTGAAATACTTAGCCCATCTGTCACCAACAGCCATGCCACAAGTTTCTTATCTTCTTGTTTTTAACATGTTTCCGTGACCAAATGCACTGTGCTTGTGTAGAACAGCTCTACCTAAAGAACAATCGCTGCATGTTATCCGGCTTGTGCTAAATGTTTTGACACAGTAAGCCTAATTACTCATCAAGTCTGTAATCACCCACACAATTTATTACTGCACATGATATGTGTATATGTTAAGTATATCAGTGTGTTGTTGGATGACAGAAAAACCTCTTCATGAGACAGTATGTGTGTGTCTTTTTGATCAACAAAGATTTTAGAACGAGGCAATTTTAACACATACTTGAGACAAAACAGTTATGCAAAACAGTGCGGTTTGCCTTTCTGCTTTGTGTTTAGCATTTTGACAAAATGAGTCACAACTGGGCCCCTTTTGTTGTTGTTGTTTTTTCTAAACTCAACAACACACCACTTCATGGGGAAAAAAATGGG